CTTGAACTCATAGAGATTCGCCTGCCTCTGCCTCCCGAGTGCTGTGATTAAAGGCGTGTGCCACCACTGCCCAGCAAAGTTAGCTTCTTAATGGGGTGTCTTCCCCCACCACCCTTTGTTTTATTTTATTTTTATTTCTTTATCTAACTATTGTCTACTTATTTATCTATTTTTTGAGACAGGGTTTCTCTGTGTAACAGCTCTCGATGTCCCAGAACTCACTTTGTAGCTGCCTCTGCCTCCCAGGTGTTGGGATTAAATGTGTGCACCACCACCACCCTTTCTGCTTTGGAGTCAGTATCAGTCAGCCCAACAGAAAAAAAAATACTTCTAGTGTGGAGGAAAGCAATCCATCCAGTCTCATAAGCTAACAGATATATGCAACCTCTTTTGTTCAAGCCCTGAACTATCCAAATCACCTTTGAAATTGTAATGAGGAACACTGGGTTGATCTGTTCCAGCAAGAGGAAATAAATACACACTGTAAATAACCTGTTGCTATTTATCCTGCATGGGTTGTCTTTTGTTGTGAATTAATAGATAGTTGTTTGATCTAAAAAGCAGCTGTGGCAGAGTTATTATGAGTCAGTTCTCTATACTGTGCCACCCAAAGGACTTTCTGGGACAATGCCTTGTTCAGCTTGGCTAGGAAAACTAAAGATGTGGTTTCTAAGGCTATTTATTTGTAATTAATTCAGCCATCTACATGGCTGGCTCACAGCTACCTACTTGAATGGCACAATTCTAGTCCCTTTGGACTCAACACGCGGCCTGTGGATCTGCAGCATGCATACCACCATGTTAGAAACACAGAATGCTGGGCCCCTCTCTGAACTAGTGATTCAGAATCTCACTGTTGACAAGATTCCTCGATGGTTAGTATGCATATTTTAAAAAATTTAAGTACAGTCAAGATCAAAAGAGGCTGAGGATACATATCCAAATTATAGAGATATAGGTTGTACCTATCTTGAAACTGGCATCCAGCACAAAAGGCCTTTTTCTTTCTTGCTACTGTGTTTTCCCTACCTTCCAAAGACAGTAGAAAGAAGAGAGGGTTAGGAGAGAGCTTGGAATGGTGGAGTCTAAAGGGAGAATAGGGAGGTTAGAGCAAGGTAGGAGGATGCATTTTTTTCCCCAGGGATATTTGCATAAAACACATTGACAGTATTTCCTTGTTAAAAGAACAGACATGATTTCAGAGACCATGTATGAGGAAACAGCTTCAAGATGGCCCCCAACAATCCTCTTCTACTGGAATTCATGATTTTATGTGATCTCTTTCCACCAGGATCTGTCTATGTGACCAAAGTGGAGATGACAGCAGCCCTTTAAAGACCTGGGTCACTGTGACTTCTGTGTTTTTGGACCTCTTGCCCTGAGGGAAGCTGTCCTGTCTCGGCACTTAAGCAGTCTTGGGACTTGAGTCCTGGAGAGCCACTGAGTTCTTGCCAACAGCCAACCATCTGAGGGATCCATGTGACTCTCTGAAAGTTGACCTTCTCTCACAGTCAACTTTTCTGACATGCACCCGCAATGGTGAAACCTGCCGGCCGGGACTGACCAGCATGCTTCTCAGGAGTCTCTGGCTAACAGAAACTCTCATGATTCCTCCTTCCCTCTCCCTGACTTTTCACCTATGCCTGGATTAAATAGGGAAGGAGGAAAAAAAAGATCTTTCAAATCCTGCATAAGGTTAACATGCTAATATCCCTTGAAGAGATACAGTGGTTTAAATTCACAATAAAACATATATTTTTATTTGTCTTTGTTTTTCGAGACAGGGCTTTTCTGTGGCTTTGGAGACTGTCCTGGAACTAGCTCTTATAGACCAGGCTGGTCTCGAACTCACAGAGATCCACCTGCCTCTGCCTCCCAAGTGCTGGGATTTAAGGCCTGCACCACCACCGCCCAACCTCCGTTCTTTCTTTTTAAAACTCTTACCAAGCTAATCTGTTGAGATATTAATTTCAGGCTTGATCTTGCTACTGTAAGAGACTAGAAAGAAAAACTTAGTAATTTCTCCCTCGGTGTCCACTATCTCAAGAAGAGTTTTAGTTTGTCCTACACCCCGCCCCCAATCATCAATATCATACATTAACAGCTAGTTTGTGTTTGGGGGGGTTACCCTACAGAAAACACCTCAAACGCCCCACCATTGGCCTTCATTTTTGAGAATTAGGTTAATAGAGAAACTACAGGATTCATCCCCGCAATAAGAAAGTGTGGGCTCTACTTTGGGAAGAAGACAAGTGAGAGAGCTGCATGGGATGGGAAATGGGGAGAGCACAATGGGCTCTCTGGAGGGACAAACCTCCCAACCACACTTATGCCCAGCAGGCTTGCAGGCTGTGGAGCTGTGCTCTTCAGTGGTACTCCACGGTGTGTGGACTAGTGGCATCAAGAATGGAGAAAAACGCAATAAAGCTCTTCCCCCAAATTTTTGGAACTTCACAGCTCCACCGAGAAAGCAGGAGGAACATCAAAAACGTGACTAATGAATTTCCCGCCAACACTGAAGGGCGGGAGTCGAGCCAGATGTCTTTAATTTGGAAAATTAAAAGACGTGTGACGCTTCTTGCCCCGGAGTCAATCCCCTGGCTCCGGCGAACTCACTCCTGTTGGACTTACTTTTCCTGACAGTGGGTTTGAGCAGGAAGAGGTAGGTGCTGCGGCATGAGGAGGATGGAGAAAGGGGTGCAAGGGAGAAGAGGCGCTTACGGAGCTTCGGTCGCTAGCTTTAGCCCCGGCACGGGTT